ATCTCTTTGCAATTAAGCTTTTGAGATTCCCATGTCAGAGGGAATATATTCTCACAACCCTTGTTCCCACCACTTCCTTCTTAACTCTTTATGCAGTAAAGCATTAATTTACTTACCAACATTTGATTAAACTCTTAAGGTTCAACCCTAGGAGGAGGTGGCAGTGGACAAAGGATTATTGTCATTCATCATCAACACATTTTAGCCTACCCTCGAGTTGCCTATGAAGGATTAGCATTTCCCTGAAAAGAGGAGGACAGAATAAATTGCATCTACCGCCAAAGAACTGCCAGCTCCTTTCAGCTGGGGGCACATACCGGGAGCTTTTCCCATATTAGTCAGCTTTATCTCAACTTTTGGGCAGTGCCTACATCTGAATTTCATGGGTTTCAGGGTCAGTCAAAACAGAATTGTAGGGTTGTTGAGGTCAGAGGCCACCGCTGTCAAAGGGTAGTGACCTGAACAGCAAGAGGTAGCCAGTCCCCCCCTCCACCCCCCTCAAGTGACTTCATTCTAGTGAATACTTGGCTCATTGCACCTCCCCTGCAGAGCTTTTTTTCGACCTGGTAATAAAAATCCTCCTGTGACCTGGTATTTTTTTTTTTTTTTACATTATTATTGATTTTCTTTTGTTCCTGTTTCTCTATAGAATGACCAAATCTTGGTCCTTGATAATATATTGGTTTGTATGTACCCTGGGAAATGATAGAGGAAAAGCTAGTCTGCTGTTAGCTTACAGTGAATGGAATGCCACCTCGGGGGTGGGGTAGAGATCTGGTGCCCAGCTTAGAAACTGCCTTCATTTAGCGCACACAGAAATTTCCCAGAACTTCTGAAACTCTCTTCAACCCCAGTAGGTTCTTTTACCACGGTCAAGGTTGATTTAAAAACTGCAAAGCCGCTTAGGAGAGAGGAATGGGGGTGGGGTGAAGTGGAAACAAAAGTAGGAAGGAAGAAGAAGGCAGTTTTATAGTAAAAAGAGCACAGACTCCGTGGTAAGGCAGTTTTGTTTCAAATCCCGGCTCTGCCACTTACTGCGTGGGACTTTGGGCAAGGCACTAAATGGCTCACAGCCTTCGTTTCTTCACCTGCAAACAGAAGTGATTATACTACTGACATTGCAAGGAGGTTGTGAGAGTGGAGACGATGCCTCTGATGTGCCTGGTACTAGCAGACCCCAAGAAATGGGAACCTCTATAGATTAAGGCAGATCCCTTTCAGAAATGTGCCACATATCCCTCAGTGCGAGGTGAGGAAAGCGTGTTGCAGGCTCCTCCCTTAAAGATTCTTCTTCTTCCTTGACTACATTTCAGTTCTTAAGAAGACATTTTGCAGCTTACCGTTTCTGAGACTTGTGGCACGGGGCGGGGCATTTTGGATGCCATCTCTGGTTGGGGCACAGTTTGGCAGTTCCTTGAGAATTCACTGTTCTAAACTTCTCTGAGTGGCTTTTCCGTTCTCTCAGAAGACTATTATAAAAACCAAGTATCAGCACTGCACCTGATTCTGATTCTGATTCTCTCACCCCTGTTGTCATGGTCAGATCTCATTATTTTTTCATAATAGTTCTTAAACTGCTGGTTTTAGCTCTTGAGGCATTTTTTATTTCAAAAGGAGGAATAAAACTGGGGAGCCCTATTTCGCCCGCCCACCATCTCTCTTCACCCACACTCCTTTCCTAGCAACAGCTCTTTTCTCAACTCTTGGGACCCACGTCTTCCGTTCCACCTACACCAGTAGCAGCAAAATATGGGGGTGAGAAGGCTGGGGGCACGCGGGTTGAGGTGCAGGAGGAGGAATGGGGGAAGAGCTTCGGGGAGGAGGCTGATGAAGCACAAAAGGTCCTGACCTCCTTGGAAGAAGAGGAAGCCACAAGGGCTGTGTCCCAGCTGGCTTAGCCTGGGAGGCTGCCAAGGAACTGAAGCAGAGAAGGTCCGGGTTAGGGGCCGGCGGCAAAGTGGCAGGGAGCGGGCTGGACTGATGGGCAAACAGAACAGTGCGGTTAGGGAAAGGTGTGTCAGCTGCAGGGAAACTGTAACCAGCGTAGATTCTTGGGGGGTGCCACTCTTCTCCACTCTGGACAGACTGGAACCCTATAAAAAGGAAACTAAGGCTGCATGTTCAGGGAATAGCAGTCCCCGATCTTAGAACTCCAAAGTGGAAGGGGTCGGGTTTCTCAACTTTAGCTGCATATGACAATCACTTGGGGAGCTTAAAAAACTACTACTGATGCCCTAGTCACATTCCAGGTTAATTAATTACTGTGAGTGGGACCTATACATCAGTATTTTTTAAAAGTTGACAGGGTAACTCTAATGGGCAGCCAGGATTGAGAACCATTGAATTCCAGTCCTACCTAGAGCGAGAATGTCCCTTCTACAACATCTTTGGTGGAACCAAGATTGAATCTCAGTTCTACCTCAGTTTGAAGCCAGTAAGTATAGCCATTTTTTTCTTTTAAGCTTCCAGTGATGATGATTTGCATACTTCAGACTCTTGACTAAGTCTGAACTCTGTGCCTCAGGTCAGCTACAGCAACCCCTCCTCACATCCTTTCCCCTGTAATAAAGACAGTATTTATGCTATCCCTTCCCAGGATTTAATTTTTAAAAAATCTTGTGGTTTTGCCTTTAAGAGGTACAAGAAGTTGGGACAAACAGCCTGTTTGTTTTTGCTCTTTCCTTCTCCAGATTCACTTCAGACATTTTGATTGATGTTGCTTTAGAGCAAATATTGAGGACAAACCTGGAGGGAGGGGAAAGTAGCAGAAGATGACTACCTGGACTCGTGGCAGAGAGGGTGGGGTCGGGTATGAGGCAGGGGGTGGACGTTGCTTGGTGATGGTGGTGCAGGTATATGGGCCGAGCTCATGGCATGAACCTCAGGCTGTTTTTGTAGCACCAGCTGGTGGAGCCATCGCCTCCTTTCTTGTGGCTGCCACCCTGAATCACTGCCCAGCTGCCAGTCCATTCTTTGTTTTCCCTGAGCTGTCCACCCTCCTCACCCAGAGCTGCCGGCCCTGGTCCATCAGCACACAGACTATAATTTGGGATGTCATAGTCATATAACATGCCTGCTTGAGGTCCAGAGTGGGGATGTGACCCCTCAAGGTCACATGGTGGTGAAGCTAAGGCTCCCTTTCAATTCTCTTTCCATGATTGCAATCCCCCTCCCCATTTAGGTTGGGCTTACTCAGTGGCAAACATTTTTGATTGGTCTGTGACTGGGTTGCAGTCTCAGAGGGGCCACAGATTCCCTTTCTTTCCAGACCTGGGATATACGAGAGGCCTGACAAAGGACACAGCAGGATGGATGCCGAGGACACCACAGGCCTGCGACGTGGGTGAGCCATCCTGGCTGCTGTTCATGACTTCAGCCAGTTTCAAGCTGGCAGAGTCCTTTTCAGAAAGAGTCCTAAAGAGGGGAGTGTCCCTTTATTGCCAAGACTCCTCTGTTCTTCCTCTGACAAGTGACTGGCCCCACTCCCAGCTGCCAACCTTGCCCGTTCCCATTCTGGTGACTGGCTAGGAACCATCAGAGAGAGAGAAGGTGCATTTGAGTCATGAGCTCACAGCATCTGTTGTCTTTTCCTAATCAGATCCTTCTCAGTTCTGAAGTTGAAGGTTTATTAGAACAATTGGGAACGTAGGCAGTACTCTCAGCTCCCAAGAGATTGGTGCCTTGTGCTCTGGAGAGAATGCCCAGTGACCACTTGCCCTCATCTAAAGCTGCCTTCTTCCTATGGCACTGATGACTCCCAGTTCCTGGCTGTGCTGTGAGAAGGCGGCACACATTCTCTCCTCTGCAAAGTTCTTGGAGTGACCACCCTATTCTCTGGGACTCAGGCCCTTGTTGATTGTGACTGTTTTTACCTAAAGATCTGTGCATTTAATGAGCTTGGCTGTTACTTGCACACGGTTGTTATTATGTGCTGCTGCTCCCTGGCTAGAGAATTTGACAATTGCTTAATTTTTTGTGCTTAGTAAGTAAAAAATCAGACTTTCTACACCCTTTCATTTATGGAGCACTAGCTTTGAACTGTAAGAGAGCGACAGGTCTGGTTATCCTCAGGTTTATTTTATACAGTGACTAAATCTGAAATTTCATTCTTCCTCTTCCCTTGCTTTCCTCATATAAAGCCAACTAACGGATTGTGGCCAAAAGATCAAATTAATTGACTTTCAGAGAGTGAAATCCAACATCTAGTACTTTCCTTTGGTAGAACAACATAGCTAAATTTTTTTAGGGGGATGCTATGTAAAATATATCATTTTAATCTTAAAGTCATTTTCAGGTATAAATAGGTTATATAATAGCAAGTAAGAGCTTGGCTTTAAAATCAAATCTTTCAAAATGCAAGTTGAGTTGTCAAATTCTCACGCCTTTTAGTTAAAATAGTCACTACTGCCATTTCTGGAAATCTGTGGCCCTGAATTTCTCATAAATCCTAGACTCTTAGCATTTGGACAAAACATTTAATCATTTTCCTTCTATATCCTCACTCCTCAGCCCTAGAATCAAAATGCAGTGCTGGAGAAGAATTTGTTGATACTTATTAAGTATTCAGTAATGTTACTGTTCTGTTCCAGGAGTTTATTAGCATTTAAAGCACTGCACTTGAAATATCTTTACACCTAGTGATCATTAAAGCATAATGAAGTACCAGGGGAACCTCTTAATGATGCTGGTCCTGAAGAAGACTGTTCCCTCTAAGAGCCGAAAGGCTCCTGCCCTTTGCTGATGCCAGCCATCATGCAACCTTAAGACAAATCCTCGTATGTGGAACTGGTCCGCTACAAACCTCAGTCAGGCCACAGGTACTAAATTGTTGTTTAAGGACTGCATGTGTGGCCTATCCAAATTTTAATGATTATGTTATGACAAGATGATGGGGAACTGAAGAAACACAACCGTACAAGACCACTTAGTTTTGTTTTGCCTACACACACACCCACACACACACAGGTCATCAAATGCAAAATGAAAATGAATAAAGCAGGTCATTTCAATACTTTTTATTTGAGTGTGAAACCATATCTTGCACAACTGTACAGATAAAACTATTTCCATTTTAGCTGTAGACATGATTATCACACTGAATGGTGTGATCAAAGATTTTATTTACAGAACAATTGCTAAAACATCCGATGTCATATTTCCATTTATTTCTTACCCATAGGGTAATAGGTCCACCATAATTGCTTGGTGCTTTTTATAATACAGAAAGAAAACCTATGTTAATCTCTAACAAACCTCACAAATTGCTACAAATCTGACAGAAAAATGCCTACGAAAAAATTTTCCGAAAGTACAATACATTTTTATTTCCACACATACACAGTATAGTATAGGCTCAAAGGCACAGCTTTGAATTTTTTTTTTTTTCTATCAAAGTGTCGGAAATTGTTATAGTCTTATGAAGGAACTGCAAAAGTCATTTTCACACTTGGTGCTTGGCAAGCTAATGTTTGGTCCATCCAGTTTCACAAAGGTAACACAGCAGAGCTGAGTGTGATACTCAGTGCCATAAATCCACATTCTTACAGAACTTAAACCCCCCCTCCTGCCTTTTGCTGACACTAGCCATTGTGCAAACTTAGGACAAATACTTGTGTGTAGGAGAACCAGTCCCCTACAAACTTCAATCAACTTAAGGCATACAGAACCAGCCTCTTCCTTCCCTCTAGACAGTGCTTACATTCCAAGACAATGCAGATACTGTGACTGACATGAGTGTAACGGGGAATCTAGAGTTTCCAGAAACCTCCTTTTAGCCCTGGTGCTCCAGGAACCAGTAATGACACCACCAGGAAGAAAGGATGTGTAGAACATATCTGAGGGCTGTTCATTGTACAGTAAAATGACAGATAGATGGAAAGGTGAATGCTCTTGGTAAATTATGTGCCCATCCAAGAACACAAACCAGATCTGTCTCCAGTATCCATCCTTCAAGACTAAAGAGCTTTTGTCAACAGGAAAATAAGTAGCTTACTGGGAGTGGTTGCCAACACAAAGCAAAATCATGGAACAAAGGGAAAAGGCACAGATTGGCCTGCCCGAGATAGTGCTCTATAGAAACAGTCAGGTCTGGCTTGGCTACAGGAACCCAATCTCACTGACTTTAGTGAGTCCTGTTTCTGAACTAAAGTTTATTTATCCCACACTGAATCCCAGTCTCACACTCATTAGGAAAATGGACGCCTAGGAATAGTCCATGAGTTATGATGTATAGAGAGAAAGTCTTCTGGGGGTGGGTATGGGTTTATTATTATTATTATTAATTATTATTAATATTAAATATGAATTCCTATGATAGCAGTCATTTAGCCCATCCTGTGGAGGCCTCTCCGTTGATGTAAGCAAAACCAGGAAAGTGTTGCATGTGCTCATACTCAGAATTCCTGCGCGTGGTCAGGGGTGTGTACATGTCACTAGAGTTTCCATACCTCGTGGAATGCACAGACGGGCTTGTGTAGCAGGTGTTGGCTGTGGGCACCTCTGGCCATCGGGGGGTGACTGGGGTAGGATGCAGTCTGGGAGTACTGCTCATCAAACACGGTTCCATCCGGGAAGTGGGGCTATTAAAAGGGTACTTGTTGAGGGGAAAGAAATTCCACAAAGTTAAAATTAGCTTGAAGTTGCATATACACAATATCAGTCATGTTCACAGTTTGTTTTAAGTTAAGATGCTGTTAATGAAAGTTGGTGGGAAGGAATGAGTGAACTTCTGAAAGACTGAACCTTGGTCTAGGAAGTATCCAACAGGAGAAATGAAAAGGATTTCATAGCCAGAGTTGGGCTGGTATTCAACCAGTAATACTGACTTCATGCTCCTAATCTGGAATGTCTCGGGAAGTTAAACCCAAAAGAAGGAATAGCCCCACTGGGAATACAGGAGAGAGGGAGAGGGAGGGAGAGAGAGAGAGAGTGTGTGTGTGTGTGTGTGTGTACACGAATAACAGCATGTCCAAATAGATATGGATGGTTAGGAGTTTTATCATTAGTTTGGGAGATGTGATAGTTCCCACTCCATCAACCAAGAGAACAATACTGCCAAGTAAAACACAATGACATTATTAAAAATAGCATTTTACAGTTGAATTCAATTATGAACTGCAGCCTAGAAGCAGGCTTTTGAAGAGGAAGCAAGTCAACAGCTTCGAAGGTTATTATTAGTGCCTATCATTTAGAGAACATCTCTCTTTTTGGTTCACATTCACTGAAGTCCTGGAAGATACACAAGCAGGAAATGGTAAATTATTGGGCTTGGTGTGAATGTGAAGGAAGAAGTGAAGATAAGCCAACTGAGAGGGGAGGAAAGGGGAGCTTTTGTGCTGGTCAGAACAGGTGTTAGTAGCTCCAGAAAGAGGGGAAGCAGTTCTAGAAAGAATTAGGAATAAGAGAAGTGCCTCTGAAGTGCTGCTTCTTTTACATTCTTTTCAGTTTCCAAGACAGCTATGCAAATAAGCCCCTTTTAGTACAATCAGAGGGAAGGAAGGGGAGGAGCTCTGGGCTCCCTTTGAGAGCTCTCAGTTTGCAGGCCAGTAAACACAAAAATTTCCTTGCTGTGCTAAAGGCCACCCCAACAAGGACAGGAGCCAGTCAACAAGGATGGCAAGGGCAGCGAGTAGGGAGAGAGTGTGCGTGTGAATGTATAAATTCTTCTGCTCCCCATCTGTCTTCCCTGACAGTTGGAGAGTGGAGCCCTGAGGGATTAGGTGGGAGGCTGCCTCCTGTGAGGGAGACAGACAGGCTGAAGCCTAGACAGCCGGGAGAAGGGGTTATGACAACAATGGCTGCTCCCTGTAGTCAAGGGGGCCAAAGGGAGCCATTTTGCCTCTGAGTTGGGAGCATGAGGGGAGCAGGGGAAGGCAGTTAGGCCCAAAGCATGCGAAGAGAACCAGCTATCTGTAGGTCAAGAAACAGGGCTCCAACTTCCCTTAGTAAGATTTTGTCCTGCATAGGACAGCATGCCTTACATAGCAAAGTGTGATCACTTCACAGCCAAAAGAACAGGTAGGAAAGAAGAAGAAGGGCATAGCTCAAGGGAGAAGGCACCAAGGGCTCTTGCCAAGGAGACTATAGACAGCATACCAAGGCTTTCATAATCCCAAATCAGATCAGAAACACTTAAGTATACCCATGTACCCAGTATGGGAATCTCCAGGATGCTGTTTGTATGGCAGCCATGGTGGACTCTCAGCAGTGGGATTCCAGCCCAGGACCCAATCTAAATCCCAAAGAGACCATAGTAAGATTGGGCCCTGCCCAAGAAAACAAGATCCCAGGTATTGAACAGGTAATATTGAAAAATATTACAGGGGCCGGCCCCACGGCCGAGTGGTTAAGTTTGCACACTCCACTTCAGCGGCCCAGGGTTTCACCAGTTCGAATCCTAGGCATGGACATGGCACTGCTCCTCAGGCCATACTGAGGCAGTGTCCCACATGCCACAACTAGAAGGACCCACAACACAAAAATACACAACTATGTACCGGGGCTCTTGAGGAGAAAAAGAAAAAATAAAATCTTAAAAAAAAAGATGGTATTAAAGAAAAAAAGAAAAATATTACAAAATGGTCTTTAATTTTTTCCAAAAATTTGGATCCCTCTCCTGATATCCTCTCAAGTAAGCCTAAATGCATGAGGCCTCACCTCATGGTACCCTCCCTGGCACAGAGGCCTCCTCTCAGGTCCTATGGCATGCCAAGCTGGTTCCCATCTCAGGGAATTTTGTCCTACCTGTTCCTTCGGTCTAGAACACTTCTTTAGCACCCCTACCCCCAAGCTCTTTGCATGGCTGCCTTTTTATCATTCTTCAGATCTCAGTTCAGATGTCACCTCTTCAGAGAGACTTTTCTGGCTATCTTATGTCAAGAAGCTACATGCTCCCCCCTCCGCCTCTCAGGTCAGGTCATGATCCTCAGGTCAGGATCTTACCATCCTGCTTCGAGCTGTCTCCACTGGCTTATATTCATAAGCTCCTGGAAGGGCTTTGTCATGTTCACTACCATATTCCAGACATCTGAAATGATGCCTGGCACCTAGCAGGTGCTAAGTAACTATTTGGTGAATGAACACTGGGATGTTACCACTGGAAAGAACCTTAGGGATCATATAATCCAACCCTGTGTTGTACACATGAGAAAACTAGGACCCATGAGGAGAAGCACCCTGCCCAAAGTCACATGGAAAGGTTGTGGAATAGCTGGCATAAAAACCCAGTCCTGGGGTAGAGCTTTTTCTCCACATCAATCTGACTGGCCCAAACAAGGCATGACCTACCACAACTGAATTCCGCAGGAGAGGAAGACACTCCTTTTTTGGAATGTAGCCCATTAAACTTTAATCTCTGTCACTCTTCCTTTAAGCTCCCTCCTCTCCTACAGACAACAAGGTCTTCCGATTCTGACCAGGCCTCAACTTGAAGACAGAGCCTTCACTTGCTTTGGCTTGTGTAGGTAAAATGTCACAGTATGGACTTGGAGCCTCCTTCCCACAGAACCCAAGAGAGTGTGGCTTTTGTGCCTAATCAAGGACCCTAGATGCAGCTGTGCCCAGGGGTTGTGTCATAGACTCAAAAGAGTAATTGCCTGGAAATGAGACTGGCTCAAAATATCTCCAAAGTGACAATAAAATTCTGTTACCACAGAATCCGGCATGGAAAATTCTGTCCTGTTAGGTCAGCTAATTGCAAATGAGTCAGTGACTCGCTTTCCCCGTGGTGAAGAGACCATTGAAAGATGAGAGGCTGAAGTGCCCACTGCCTCGGCTTGGTGATTAACGCCACCAATGAAGCTTCTATTTAGTCTGGCAGGAGTGGCCAAGGCTGGCCCGTGGCACCCGCCTCACCTTTCACACTTTACATCCGGTTTCATGCAGGGTCCTTAAGCATGCTGGGCACAAACCCTGGGGTCCGGAGAGCTCTTGCCCAGAATAAAGGCGCTTTTTGTTGAGGGCCCATAACAGGAAGTTACCATTTTCTAGGTCAAATCACACGCTGTCGCTACTGGTGTTAAAATGGAGATAAGTCACCAGTTCTCAGCCTTTGAGAGAGGTGTGTGAGGGGTGCTTGTGGGCACATATGTGTGTGAGAGTGTGTGTGTGTGTGTGTGTATGCATATATAGTCAAAGATTCCGTCAAATGGCTATGGTGTAAGTCTATCTCAGCTGTCATTGACTCTGGGCCTCTTTGGAACCATATTAGGAAGTTCTATTTTGAGAAACAACTCCCCACACCAAGGGCTGACTTTCCTGCACATGGAGAGGGAAGAATGAGCCCTTTATCCCTGACCCTTACCAAATGGGCTGCTACTTGAGCAAGGGGTGAAAGGTGGCCCAGTCAGGAGCACAAACTGTTTTCCTATGAAAGGCGGCTCTCACTGCTCCACAGTTCTGCCAGTGGGCCCACCCCAGGCAGGCTTCCTCTTAGCCTCTTCTGGAAGAGGACATAGCTCCCCAAAAATCTTTGCCAGACAGTCCACATATGCTGAGCTTTTAGGGTCAGGATTAATTGAGTGAATAAATGTGAAACAGAACTCCCATGTACTAAGTCTTCAAAACAGGTTAGCTAATATTAATATTCTTCTTCTTCAAATCAGGGGATCATCGTCTATTAATGACAGGAAGAGACTTAGACTAACCATCTGGTCCTACCTCTCATTTTAAGGATGAAGGAATTGAAGTCAAGAGAGGGGAAATGATCTGTTTGAGGTCACACAGCAACGTAGTACCAGAATAAGGATCCATTCATTCATTCATTTCATTGACAAGTATTTACTGAGTACCCACTAAGGGCCAAGTCTGTTCTGGGTCCTGGGAATATAATGGTCAGAAAACAAAAGGACCTGGTCCCTGCCTTCACAGAGCTAGTATAGTGAGGGAAGCAGATGGTAATTCTATAATTACACAAAATATAATAACTCTGGTATTACAAAGGATAATAATAATAATAAACAAATAGTGTTAACTATGAGCCAGGCCCTATTCTAACCTTTATTAACTCACTTAACCCTCGCAACAATCGTATGAAATAGGTACTGTAATTATCTTGATTTTTCAAATGAGGAAATTGAGGCACAGAGTTAATCAGAGGCAGAGCTGAGACTGGAACCCAGGAAGCCTGCCTCTCCAGTCAGAGAGCTTACACCACTATGACGGACTGATTTTTATTCCTTTTGGCCCAGGATGCTATCCCAAAGTGGAGCACCCTAAGCAAACTTTGTAGCAGTCACTGGGCTCTGAGATGGAGGACCCACCGGCCCTGGGGCTGGGCTGCTGGAGATTCTGTGAGAGACGTGTGCTTGGCTGGCAAGGCTGGGCCTTGGCCATACAAATGAGAAATAAAGAACAGCTTTCTAGTTGACTCTGTGTATTTCTAGCCATACAGCTTCTGGTTGATCACGGGGCTTTTGAGCTCAAGGGCCCAGTTCACATTCATGGCTGCTAACAGGGTAGAAGTTCCAGGAATGGCTGTTGAACGAGGCTCAGAAATATTTTGTAGCCATGCATTTGGTCTCATTTGTTTTCTCTTTTGGCCAGGCATGAGAAAGAAGAACCTAGGAAGGGGCAGCCGACACCATCCCTTGTTCACTTACTTTGATGTGAACAAGTGCAGAATAGTTGCCAGAACGGTGTTTTTCTGAAATAATTCAAACCTTACACTGTGAAACCTCATTCATCTGGACTCACTAATTCAGAAATTATGAGGATTCAAGCAGGGCTGGAGGTTTACCCTTGTATTACCCAGGCAGAAAGCATGTGCCATGCAAATAAGTAGTATAAACAAGGGCACATACATACTCTATTTCAAGAAACAAATGACTTCACATTATTTTGAGCACATAAATGCTGGGATGCATGCGATTACTGCACTTGACAGATGTGTTGTATCAGTTCTTTAGGGCAAGCCTGGCAGGCATTTATTTGCAGAAGTTAGTTTCAGTTACTCTTGTGCTGATGACCAGTTCCATTCTTTAACCATATTCTATGATTGCGGTCTTTCTTTAGTTCAGACTGCTCTTTCCCCCAGTGAGTCTGATGTAATGAAGTGTGATATTCAGTACTCGGGATTGGAACAGCTTGAACTCTGCTCTGGAAAGCTAAAACTGATTAGCCCTGCAGTGGATTTTCCCCTAAATGCTCAACCTTAAATCAAAGTCCCAGGAAAGGAAAGAAAGAAAGAATCTTGGGAGTGTGATTCTTCTCTTTGGTAACTGAGAGTAGCAGCGGTAACCTCTTGAAATTTCCTCCACCCTCCCAAACACACCCAGTGTGTCGCGTTCAGAGCCCTGGCTTGGGGCTGGAGGTGGAGAATTTGCATTTGAGTCTGCTTTGTCACTTGCTGGACACATGACCTGAGGCAAATGACCTCCTGAGGCTCTTTCCTCATCTTTAATAACTGGAGAAAAAGGCTTTCTTGCCAAGGTTACTATGAGAATTAAGTGATTCTGTGTATTTGCAAGTGTCTAAAACAGTGCTTGATGCATACATGTTAATAAAAAACAAAACAAAGGATTCTTTGTCTTTGACAGTACCTTCCTCAGGAGAAGCGCTGACCTCACCCATCCACCTGGGCAGAGAAGTGATATCATTAACTTCTCCCCACCCCACCGTACAAATCGAGACTCAGGCTTAACCATAAAGTGCAGAGTGTGACTGTGCGGTGGGGGTCAGAGGGTGTCAAAAGGCCTTGTCTAAGAGCCACAGGGCACAGTGTGAAGAGTCTGCCGGGACCCTGTCACCTCTCACACCTGCTCTGGATTCAAAGGGCTCCAACGTGGGTTTTCATTTAGTGCTTGGCCCTTCGATTAAGACTAGCTATTCAATGACAGTGCTGCAGAGGGGGCCTGTTGTTTCCAGAGTAGATGCTGCAGACCTATCTTTGATCGCCAGGACCACATGGGCCTTTCGGAGACCTTGGCTTCTTTTTATGGCCATGGCTTTAAAAATATCACCCCAGAAAAACCAGCTCCAGAAATATCATGAGGAGGGGTGAGGGAGTGAAGAAAGAAGGAAGATAATGTTGGGAGTTGTGGCTTGGGATTTTGATTTATCTTGCCAGTGTTGCTTAGGCTAGTGTCTCCTACTGGAGCGTGAGCTCTCCAACAGCAGGCACCTTCTGTCCCATTCGCCACTGCATTTATTCTCAAAGGCTAGAGCAGTGCTTGCCACATAGTAGGCACCCAACAATCGTTTGAGGAATGAATGAATGAATGAATGAATGAGCTGCTTAGACTATGTTAAATGTGACCCAGTCTATGGCAGCAGCTAGGCAGTCATTTAATGGATCACAGTGAGGAGCACAGACTGCTCCCAAGAGAAGCAGTACCTCAGGAGCTGGCATCTCTGTGTGACGCAGTTGGAGACCTATAATGAATGCCCCAGGTGATGATTTAGTGGAATCAACTCCTTGGCTTGTCTGGGGATTATACCAGGGCTCCCCTTGGTACTGCAGATGGAAATCAAAACAGACGCCTGTTTGCCCTGAGTGCCCGTGTATTGTGGATACATTCTCCTCAGTGCCCTCCCTCAGAGGCAAGTCTGTGTGCTGACAGCTGATGTAATTGCGGCCTCCACCCTAGCTCAAGTCCTGCCATTTCTGTTTCAGACTCCTGCAAGCGCTTCATAGCAGAGCTCCCTGCCTCTCCCAGTCTGCTTTCTAGTTCAGCCTAGGAGTGCTTCGAGAGCTCTCTTTCTAAAGCATAGCTTTCATCTTGCCTCTCCCTGGCTCCTACACCTACTGTGGCTCCCACACCTGCAGAATGGAGTGAGCGTCCTCGGGACACCACACTTGTTTATGCTGACCTCACCTCCTGTTTACTTATCTGTTCAATACACACTGAGTGAATGCTGACATATGAGAGGTGACAGAGGCTGGTGCTTGAGAGCTGGCCAGCCGGGGTCACACTGCCTGGGTTCAAATCCTCAGGCAAGTTACTCTCACTTCCTTTTCTGCGAGGGTCACCATGAGGCTGCGTAAAGTGCTCAGCACAGTGCCAGTATTCAGTAAAAGTCAGCTCTTCTTTTTGATAGGTGCCATGGCCTATGACCTGAGGATAGTAGACTTAATTTTGGCCTTTCGGGAGCTTTGGGGTCCCCTGCAGGAGTCAGGGAAGTCAGTGATGATAACAAGGTGTGATCAGTGTTACCAATAGAGGAAATCCCAGGGTGCTATGCGAATACAGAGGAGTGGCACCTAATAAGGTCCTGGAGGAAGGAAGGGGGTAGTGTCAGGAAATGCCACAAAGACAGTGAGATGCTTGTCTTGAACAAGAAGCAGAAGAGGTTGGGGAAGAGAATCCTCAGCCTGAGGGAACAGTATCTGCAAAGACATAGGGGAATGCGTGCAGGTTGGCATGGCTGGAGCAAAGATGGGGGGCAGGGGCTGGCAGGCCAGAAAGGCAGGCAAAGACCAGATGGTAATGAGTCTTGAGAGACGTGCTAAGGAATTGAACTTGACTCTGAAAGCAATGACATGTGAAAGAGGGAGAGTGTTATGGCCAGTTGGGTTTTTTCCAAAAGATTCCTCTAGCTTCAGTGTAGGGAATGGACCAGAGTTGTTTAGTGACACAGAGACAGATAGAAAGGCTTCTGTCATCATCTAGGTTAGAGAAAGACCTGAACCAAGGCAAGGACAGGCATTGAGGATGCAGACTTGAATGGAATTGATGACCAGTTATGTCAACGCCAGTGCACAGGAAGGTGTCTAAGACAAGGAGAGTGCCTGACACTGATGTTATATGTGCAACCACAATTTCCATTCACCACTGGCCACAGAGGGTCAATTTGGTTTGTTAGACAGTGAAGAGCTAAAGGAAATGTGTGGCCTGAGAACGATCTGACAAAGGGTCCATTTCAGGAAGATTCTTCTGGTAAGCTTACATGTGTGGGCTGGACTGAAAGGGAAGAGACAAGGAAGATCGAGAGACCAGTTGGAATGATGCCGAGTTAATAGTCCTGATAGGACTTCATGAGGGTTTGCACCAGGAGAAGGGTGATGCGAAAGGAGACAAAAGGTCCAATCTGAGCCTGAAAAAGGGCAGCAGACGTTGCAGCTGATTGGATCCTGGGATTGGAGAGGTCAAAGAGAAGACGGAACTAAAGACAATGGGTCAGCACCCGCACGTGTCAGAGAAAGTGGAGCATGAATGCTGGTTGAACACCCACTGTGGGCAGCCACCAGAGGGTAGAAATGGCACTCAGGAAAAGACCGTCCTTTCCCTGGTAACACACAAGTGCATGCACAGTATACAGAAGGTACTTACTAATTGTGTTAAATTGACTAGACCTGCCACCAAGCATACCAAGGCCTGGGCAAGCAAGCAGGACCACCAACTCACCTGCGCAGAGCTCCTGTGGTAAGGGGAGTAGTGGAGTGGGCCAGAGATGGCTGTGTCGTGAGGGAGGGCCGGGTACTGGCTCTGCATCGGGGGAGGATGCTGGTTGCCATAGCTCCCGTAGTTATAGCTTCCCGTGTATCTGAAACGCATTAAGCACGGTGAATATCGTGAATAATAGCAGGGAGAACCAATCAGGTTGACACCTTTAAAAATCAACCTCACCTCTCCTTTTTCCTTTTTGTTCTTTTCTTTCTTTTTTTCCCACTTTTCTTCTTTTGGATTCTTACCATTTCCACTCTGTGGCTCTGTTGTACTAAGTTTAAACTCCCAGGTTGATTTTTCTTCTCCCCTCAGCACACCTCCCTTACCACCCAGTGAGCGCTCAGGGAACGAAGGCCAGCCCTGAGCAAAACATAATTAGTGATGGAAATCTCTACTCCTGTTGTGTTAAAAAGCCTCATATTAGAGCCTGAAGTCAAACAGGAAAAAAGAAGAAACTACTTTGCAATTTATGTTTTTATATTTTTCAGGCCTCTGCTTCCCCATGACGGGGAAGGATGTGGCATGTTTCTGGGAGCTCTCTCCTGGGGGAAAACACCATGGCACAGTCAACCAGGCATCAGAGACCCAGGTTCTAAGCCTGGCTCCACCACTTTCTAGCTGTGGGATCATGGGCTACTCACAAGCTCATTTCTCCCATCGGTAAAAGTGCTGCACGCGGGTATTCTGAGGGTCAGATATGTGAGGACGCTCTATGAAAGACAAAGTCCTCTGAAGACATAGGATATTATTATCACTGTTCTTAATAACATCCTTACAGCGAAGCTGCTGACAGGAGACCACGTGGGTGTCTATTCTGCTGTTCCTGCAGAATCAAAAAACTCTCAAACAGTTTTCACAGTCTATTCCAAAAGTGTGAAATAATAGTCTAGGAGGCCCCCTGAGGAAATAATGGCTGCCCCATTGACTGGTCGGGGCACCTGAACCTATGAAAATAACACCAAGTAAACCAGCAGCTGGGCCTGCGCACACCCTCAGGGGCGCTGCCTGGCTGCATTACCCTGGGCCACTGCGTGGAGGGGACTTTGGAAGCCCTCTTCCTCCCCCATAGCTGGCCTGATGAAACCTGGCCTGGGGGCTCACTGCACCCACACAGCAGTCTCTCGCCTTCTGGGGAATAAAGGCCCCTTTTAACATCATCAGTGTTTTTCAGATCACTGCACATTAAATAATATGAGATTAGTTTCTTTCGATAAAGACAAAGCATAATGGCAAAAAGCTACTATGATTCAGGTAACGCTTTTAAATGGATTAGTAGTTTATTCGTCACAGCAACATCACTATATAGATTTGAAAAAATATGGGCAAAATGAATGATTTCTTTATTCAGGGTCCAAAGCACCACTGGAACCCACCGGGATTCCCTGGACCCCGTTAATAACTGCTGCTCTCCAGCGACCTCCCACCCTCAGGTGGGGAAGTGCTCCTCTGATGGAGTCATAAAAGACGCAGCCCTACCATGAAGCTTTATAAGGCGGCAAAGGGCACAAAGAGCCACCTGGGGCACTGCTGAATGGGAGGGAAGAACACAGGCCTCCGAGGCAGAAAGATGCTCAGTCTGGGCCCCATGTTTACCAGCTGTGTGACCTTGGGGGGTTGCTAGCACCTACCTCACCTGGTGGTTGTGGGGACATGAGACAGTTATACACGGTGCAGTGCTGAGCACACTGCGAGGACTCAACAAAGAGTGGTGCTCTGCCTGTTCTTTGAGAAAACAACCGCTAAGTAAACCCTGCTTTTTAAAATCAAACGTAAAAGTAAGGCAACATCCCAGAAAAGTCACCTACCCGTGCTCCTCTCTGTGGGGATAAACTGGTATCCTGTGTGTGACGGAGGAAGAAGGCACATGAGTACTCCTCATACAGGGCAGCTGTTGGGAGTTGTCAGCTGGGGACCCTGCCGTTGTCACTGTGTATGTAAGAGACCATGTATATGACTGCATCGCTCCTGCAGAGACAAATTAAGATGCATCAGTCACTAACACAGTTCTTGCATCTGCTTTTCTCCCTTAGAGCACTTTAGTGGCTTCTCATTGCTCTCAAGCTGAAAGCCAAAATCTTTTACAAAGCATGTGTCTCTGTCCCTGCCGACCTCACCAGAAGTAGCCTCTGCCCACTGCTGTTCTATCTGATCCAATCACAGTATCTTTCTTTCATTTTTTCCAGAGTACCCATGATTCCTAGCACCACAGGGCCTTTGCACATGCAGTTTCTACTGCCTAGAACCGTCACTTTTCCCTGAGTACTCACTCTTTCTTCATACCTCAATACAGAGAAGCTGTCTCGAAACCCCTGACTAAGTCAGATCCCATGCTGCACTACAGTCCTTCATGGTGCCTACCACAATTTGTGATCTTATACTCATTAATGAATGTGATTTAGTTAATGCCTACTCCCCCCAACACCACCACCAGACTGTAAGCTCCATGAGGGTAGGGGCCTTGTCATTTTGCCCACTATTAGATCCTGGTGCTTAGCACAGAGCCCGGTGGCCACAAGACTTTCAATACAAATTTTAAAAGGGAGAAAAGGGAAAGGAAAGATGGGAAGAAGGAGAAAGAGGGAAGGAAGGAGAGAGGACAAAAGAAAGCTCAGGGTAATGTGGCTCAGACAGGTCCAGCAAAATAACTTCTCCATGCTCAGCTCAACAGGTGTTAAGGATCCAACAAACTGCTTTAAGCAAACATAAGTAGATTATTGGGCTCTGCCTGCCCAGGTCTTTTTGAAGATTATTAGACAGTGACCTTAACGGTGACCTATTCCATACATATTATTAATTCCCTTAATTTACTTTTTAATTGGATACCTTGAAAGTGCTGGGACTTTCAAGAGGACTGGGAAAAGAAACTGACAAAATTTAAAAGCTTCAAGATGCTTAAGAATTTTATGAGATGGTTAGAATTTTTTAAAAATGGTAATTTAAGAAATCTCTAATAGTGCTAATTAAATTACCAACTTAATTTCTGGTAAGTTTGAGAATATTGACATAGTGGAGATAATTAAACTATTTTAGAAGGCAGAGGAAATAGGATTCAACACCCCCTTGTAGGCACATGGAAAACTGAAGAATTGGTTAAGGGAGGCCATTTTTAAGGTGCAGTAAAAGAGAAAACTTGGTTCTCCAGTCCTCTATTTTCTGCAGCAGACCATTTTTATCTTAAAATTCTGCTGGGAAGATAAAGATATTCATCTAAAAAATTCAGTCCATTCCATCCCAAGGACTTTGCAAATAGCACACAAGTAGCTGCACTGATATGGAGTAGCAGGGGGAAGTGAAAAGTTGGTGGATCAGCACTGTGCCAATGATCTGACAGAGACTCGGTGAGGAATACCCTTAAAGGGAGGTGACAGTGGAATCCTATTTTAAATACCTTTGCTTATTATTCAAAGAACTCTGTATTGAACCCTTTTGTAAACTGGAGAATCTTTTGGAATGCAAATAATGTCCTTTTTTTTTAATAAAGTGCCAGCGATTCATTCCAAGAGCATGAAAGGAGACACTATTTACTGAGCATCTAATATAGGCCAGGCACCATGCTAAGTGCTTTACAGCTACTCTTAAAAGAAATATTATCCCCACTTCATAGATGAGGAAGCCAAGAGTTAAATCTAATAGAATTTAAGGGAGTGGTTAGGAATACAGAAGATTCAAGAAGATAATGTGACAGTGGGAGTGAAAGAAGAAATTAACATAAAATTGGAGCAAAAAGTGCAAGCAGGAATGAGGCAAATACTCTGAAGGTCCAAATTCTTCCTACCGGTGGGCCTTAAACTTGGCTGAGTTTTCCAGGAGCCAATGCTAAAAGGGAAACCTGACAAGTTAGGAGCCATAAGATAGTAAACAAATTGCTCAGGGGTATACTGTCCTTGGAATTAAGATCAAACAGGAATTTCTTTCAGATGTCCTCACAGAGAGGCAACTGTGGATATTCACCAGTGTCCTCAACAACACCGTTGCAATGGCCTCTGCGTCTGGATTCTTAGGACTGTTCCTTATGTCACACTAATCGCAGGCTAGTGGCGTCACATAAAACTCCAGTTCAGGAAAACTTAGAATGTTAAATAACTTGCCCAGGGTCCCACAGTGAGTGGGTGGCCCAGTGGGGCTCTGATCCCCAGTCTGCCACACACCTTCCACTCTGTCTACCATGTCTCTTTGCTCTGGGTTCCAGTTCTGCCATGTCCTGGCTGTAAGATCTTGGGCAAGCCTCTTAAACTTTATGAGTCTTTCTTTCATATTTGTAAAGTAGGGATACTAGTGTCTATCCTGCAGGACTATTGTGAGGATTAACTGAGATAACATATGTCAAAGAGCCTGGCACATGGTAGGCTTTCAATGATATTCAGGCACGCTTCATTATGAATTCAGGTGTTCTTAAAGTAGAAATTTCAGTAGAAAATTCATGCTCTCTTTCTTTTTTTTAAAGATTTTACTTTTTTCCTTTTTCTCCCCAAAGCCCCCGGGTACATAGTTGTATATTCTTAGTTGTGGGTCCTTCTAGTTGTGGCATGTAGGATGCCACCTCAGCGTGGCTTGATGAGCAGTGCCATGTCCGCGCCCAGGATTCGAACCGATGAAACCCTGGGCTGCCGCAGCGGAGCGTGCAAACTTAACCACTCGGCCACGGGGCCAGCCCCAGAAAATTCATGCTTTCTTAAAGTAGAAGTTTCTATATTTCCCCTTTTAGAGTCCAAGGAAGACAAGTTTCTTGGGTCAGATTCTGTTACCAGGATTGAAACGTTTGAATAGCAACAGTAATTTGACTAATTACAGCAAACTACTACATATGTTTTTCTGTAAAATCACAGGTCTCCTTATCCACCAGTACAGCTTAAAAGTACCTTTCTGGTTTGCACATCGACACCTTGTTTTCCTCCCCAAAGATAATGACTTTAGCAGGCTGTGTGTAGGCATCATTTATAATAACTGCAAGAAGACTGGAAGGAAAAACCCCCAAAATGACCATGTTCCAGATGATGGGATTATGTGTGATTTCCCTCCTCTATATTTTGAACTTCCTATGAAATTATATTACTGTTATAATTTTTAAAAATACCCTTTTTATTAAACAAGTTATCTCTCTTGGTGGTGGGATTGAGCGTGGTTTAAAAATTTTTTTCTTTGTTTTGCTTATCTGTATTTTTCTATAATGAATGTGTATTGCCTCTGTGAAAAGAAAAACGTTATTAAAATATATTAAACAAATTTTACAGTTGGAAATGGAATTGGAGGCGGGGGTGGGAAGTTTGGGAGAACAATGAACCAGCCACAGCAAGCAAGTAATTAACCCTTGAAGCCCCTGGGACCTCAGGAGAGCACAGTGAGGTCACTGGGTTTTTAAAAGGGGCAGCTAAGGAAGCCAAAGGATTTTCTTTTTTTTTTTTTCTTCCCAAGCAGTAGGAAGACACAGTGATAATAGCCGTCACCTGAGAGAATGCAGCAGAAGTTACTTTTGTGTGAGCTCCTGGAGCACAGCAACTGTTCCTTATTCATCTCTGTATCCCCAGCAGAGGGTCTGCCAAATAGTAGGTGTTCAGTAAATTTTTGTTCCATTGAATTTGTTGTTGAAGGAGTAAATGCTGCTAGAAATAGACGTTATCAAACAAAAAGCTAGTGGAACTCTTGGAAAAATGGGCTCCTGTGGTCTGGGAAACAAAACCCCTAAATGGCCATGTGCCAGCAATCTAACAGATCCACTCAGGCAGGCTTAAGCAGATTAACACCTACTGGCTTGGGTGAGAAACCCTTTTTGCCTGGGGAGCAGAAAAGAACACCCCTTGCATACCCTTTCCTACCAGTGGGACCTCCAGTGAGAATTGCTGCTGCTTCTTTTTTTAAGGAAACTAATAAAAGAAAATCTGTGCAGTTAACAGTTTGTGCTTAATTTTTAAGACAGCTCTAATGCTTTTTATTTGTTAGTAAAACAATAACTAACTTTCCCTTTTTGTCTAGTTCCCATATCTTTCTCTTATTCTCCCCTCCCCATTCCGTTATCCCTAATTAAAAGTCTGAGGATAGTGGTGAAACCCCCTGATCTTTGAGAATCCTGTAAAGATCCTAGAGGATTTGAGAATCCTATAAAGATAAGTTGTTGTTCACATTATAGTACTGAATCCTCTAGAAAGGAACATTTTCTTTCTTTCGCATCCCCAACAAAACATTCTTCTTCCCCAGGTTGTTTTTTTTTTTCCTTTTTCTTTTAAGGGGTTTTAAACACAGGACAGGGAGGGTGCTTGAAATATTATAGGCAATGAATAATGATTTGTTGAATGAATGATCTTCTGCCATAACCCAGACTTCGTGCTAGTTTTTCTTATACATTGACTCATTGAATCGTCACAACAACCTTTAGAGTTAGGTAGTTATTACCTCCTTTTTCAGGTGAGAAAATTGAGGCCCAAGACTTGGTCAGGTTAAGTGGCAGAGTTCAGATTTGCACCCACATCTGCCCACCAGCAAAGCCGTTCCACAACAATTGCTTCTTACACTTGAATGTGCATTTGAATCACTGGAGATCTTGTTAAAAGGCAGATTCTGATTCAGTAGGTTGGGAGTTGAACCAGAGATTCTGCATTTACAACAAGCTTCTAAATGATGATGATGCTGTTGGTCCATGAACCACACTTTTGAGTAGCAAGGCTCTATGATACGCTGTCTCCCGTCATGCATCCTGCATGTTGAGGGCCATTGAAAATCAGTAGTTGTGAGATTCTGGTACAGACTTGTGAACATTTGGACTGCTTCCTAGTCTGCCTGGCCATACCTTCCTTCAGATCTTGGACTAAATCACTTGAACCTCTTTCCCACTAGGATTCTATGAACCGTGACAGATGTTGCTTAGGTTTTGAGCTAACCTAAGTCTTTGTTAGTACCTTCCTGATAAATAGGCTCCTTTAAATACGTCTAGATTCTAGAGCTGCCCTGCCCATGTGATAGCCAGTATAAAT